TATGCTGTTCGAATAGACCAAATTATAACAACAGCCGCTCTTGGCAGGAAAAAATAATTTCTGAAAGTTTGGTGGTGTTTCATTTTTTCGTTGAGCTATCATCTGAACGGACGGGCGAGCGAATGAACCCACTTAAATTGGTACACGAATTTTACGCTAAGCAGGAATGTATATATGAATGTTCATACTGCAGGCGACTCTCTATTGCAAAACATAACTCGCGATTCGGACTTAAGCCGATTATGATAAAATTTATTTTTTGCTAGAAGTTACATCGAAAATTATGTTCCATACATAATAAAATTTTTTTTAAAATAGGCTTGTACATTATTACATAAATTTCAAAACTTATTTATATATGTACACACTTAACCTATACTCATATAAGTAAATTGTGGAAAATGGTACAAATGTTATGGAATTTTCTTATTTAAACTATTTAAAAAAAGAAAAAACAAAACAATAAAAAGCTTTTCTACTTTCTTTTGTTATTCAACAACAAATTGTATGTATGTAAGTAATATATGTATTTATATACATACATAAGGCATACATAATGCAAGTGCCAATAAAAATGTGTTTATTTTAATGTTTTTATCCTTTTAATTTAGTGAAAATTCTTGTAAATAGTTTTGATAAGAAAATGGGGTATACAAATAGTGAAAATAAAATAACAAGCATTTGTGTGTACGTCTGTATTCTATATGTATATGTATATTATTTTTCTAGAATAGTTGCACAAGAGTAAACTAAGCATTTTAAAGTCTATATGCAAAGGTACTCAATTTATATAATTTTCTTTAATATTTGGATTTAAAGTGGAAAATTTTCATAATTATTTAAGCTACGAGTACCTATACATACTTACATGTGTACATATGTATAAAATTCTAGAGGACACAAAGGTTAAATATTTTAAGAAAATGATAAGTGTGAAAAAAACCCTTTTGTTTTGCAAAAATTTATAAAATTTATTTTATATACAAATAGTTAATTACACTTACTCTTAATATTAAATAGATTTGGAAGTTCAGTTCACAGACCGCTATTGTATGTTATGATCACCAACCTGAGATAAGTGGCAGTCCGTACAAATAAGGTAAATAATATTCCGAATCAAAATATCCCACATGCCACAGAGCACCCAAAAAGAGTTAAATAATGTGCTGTTCTGTACGACCAAATAATGTATGTATATACAAAAAAATTTATCTCCTATAATGAGATAAAACTACATAGATGATAATCTAATCAGTTAAATTAATTAAATATACGCATAATTTCAAGAGAAAATTAAAGTAAAAGAAAAGAGTTGAATAATAATTGTGATGTAAAATGCTACTTAGATAAAAAAAATAATTATTAGGGAAAAAAGGTCAATTTTGTTGCTAACAAAATAAAAATTACAAACAAGAAAATTGTTTATCTAAAAGTTATTTTATATTATTTGTGTAAAGGTATGTATATTTATACAAACGCATATATATAGAATGTAGAAATTAAAGGTAATAAAAAATTTTCCTCATTATTCTACAATTTAATTAATTAATTGCCTGTTTTCTTCTTTTTAGTACACCTTCTGAATAAATACAGGGTGAAATTCGCGCTATTCACATGTTGGTCACAAATAAGAAAGTCAGAATTAAATATTAGTATTAATACTGTATTATAATAGTAAGTATATAGCATTCTTAACGCAACAGTCTCAGTGTCTAAAATTATTAATACGAATAAGTAAATCAGAGAATTTAATTCACAACTCTTTCCTAAAAAAAATTTTTCAATTATATACATACAGCCAGTGTCGGATCGACCATTTATAAAAAGTAAGCATTTGCAATGGGCGCCGGAAATCGGAGGCGCCATTGAAAACTAAAAAAAAAAAACTATATTTTATAAAATTAATTTTCCATTGTAAATTCTTTCCATTGTACAATGTTTATCACACACTGTCCATTGCTTTGAAAATGAAGATGTGCACTTTTTGGAAACTGTTTCAATTCTTCTCTACACATGAAAGAAAAATTGATATAAAAATCAAAAAAAAATTTTATTCTTTGATTTTTAATTATTTTTATAATTTTATTAAATTTACTTATATTTTGTTATACTTATAGGAACAGGTTCATATCGAACTTTTCATTCAGCAAAAAAACTTTTTTACTCATTATATGGAATTAAGAATTTAACCTTCAATACAATATAGAATTAAGGATTAAAAAACTGAGATCTTTCAAACCAGGAATTTAACGCGAAAATATCCAAAAACAAGTATTTCTGTAACTCGAACACCATGGATGAATGTAAATTAACAACATTCATAGCTTTAAAATATCTAGTTCTTAAATATTCCAATTGATCTTTACAATGGCGCTTGAACAATTAAATGGTATAAAACGTATAGCTGAATGTAAACATTGTAAACAAACTAAGGCAATTTAATGTTTACATCTTTTTCTGTCTTTTTAGATTATCCGCTTCCAAAAATGGTTGAACGAGAATCTCTTGTTCCAATAAAGGACAATATCTCAAACAGTATGATATCGATCATCATTTTTAAAATCATTTTAAAAGTAGTACAATCTACTAAAAAAGATTAAGATAATTAAGTGTACAAGTATACAACAAATAAAATATGATACCAGAATAATTTTCAGAAACTCGTTATGCTGTTAAAAATGAATAATTTAACAGTTTTAAAGATTTTTTTTTTACCCTAGGTACTCACAATTTTTCTCTTTTGTTGAAGTGTAAAATTTCACATTTTCTTAAATCTTTTATATACTTAAACTTGTTAAAAAAATTTTAAACGCGAAATCATTTAACTAAAAAACAAAACTAAAATAAGTACCATTAAGTACCTTTTTTTTCTGTTGTACCTATACTTATTATATAATGTTTAAGAAAGAAAAAATCAAAAATGAATTAATAATTACAAATCTTGTACATTTTTTTTTATTGTTAAAAAAAGGATCTTGATTTGAAAGGATCTTGAAAATTTTGAATAAAAGAATAAAATTTTCTTTTCTTTTTCACCTATATATTCAGTATTTATATAATATGTGTACGTGTATATATATACATACATATATAAGAAACTTATCCTTCACATCTTATTCCAATTAGCAATGGTTTTTGTTTTATTTTTTTCAAATCTAGGTTTTCTTTATACTTTTAATAATTTTCTTTGTATTTATATACACTTATAATAAATCCATATATATACAGAGTGATTCAGAAACAAGTTAGGAGTCATGTACTATCGGGTAAACGGACAAAAACGAGTAAAATGTTTTTCGAAAATTCTATCAAACTAAAACTTTTTCGGTGCAACATGGATTTAAAAAAAATTTGGCGAAACTTTAACGTACTTGTGTATTTTTACTTATAACTTCTGTTAAAAAAATGATAGAAGCTTCAAAAAAAATAATTTTGGAAAACATTGTTCTTTAAATAAAGAAGAGCACGTTATTTGGTTTCACATGTTTTTTTCTGAAATACAAGGAAATACAAGCATTCGAACTTTTGCGAAATTTCAATTTTCCTCATTTTTTTTTTTTACTTTTTTTGTTCCGGCAATTTCTCACGAAAATTTTTCTCATTACTCCTAACTTGTTGCTGAATCACCCTGCGCATATATACATATATACATATTTATATTACAAAATACTTATGTTAGTAGAATAAATGTAAATATATAAGTACCCGTTATGTAATTGTATAAAAATAAATATTTGTAAATAAAATATATTTAAGTTTATACATACAAAAGAATATTGAAATGGAATGAATATAATGAAGAATAAGAAAAAATATAATATTAGAACAGATATAGAGGAGATAAAAAATCCTTGTAAAGGCATTGTTATCCTTGAACTTAAAAATACTTGTATATATAATATGTACATTTCAATATATATATATATATATATATGCATCATTAAATCTTTACGGAAAAAGACATTTGTTATAATTCTGTATATACTTGAAAACTATATATACTCGTACATACACATATACATAAATATATTCATAAATATATCTTCTTGAATTATTTTTATCTCTATACCAAGTTTTAGAAATAATTACATACTCTGTAAGACACTGAAAAAATAAATGTGTATACCTATATATAAGTATATATGCAAGTATATATATATATAAAATTGAAGTTACAAGGATTGCAATATAATTATTATTCTTAAATTGAACTAAAAATATTAAAAAAAAATCTTCTCGGTATATAACTGGTGTGAATTATTCACATTGAATAATAAAATATAAAGAAATTTAGTTATTTTTTTTTTTTATAAAATATTGAATAATTTTATAAAAATGATTGAATATTTTAATATGATTGAATATTTTGCAACATTTTAATATATTATATAATTTATTATAAAACTTTTAAAACTGAAGAGTTTTTCCAATTTTCTTTGTATATAAATTTATTTAAATGAGTATACATGTATAACTGTAAAAACTATAATTGGTTATACGAAAATATTATTTCTATATAGTTTTAAACAAAATTTTATAAAAATAATTAAATTTTTTGAATATAAATTAAAGGTTTAGTGATAGCCTCGAGGGCTTTGTACCTTATAAATTCTAAAAAAATCATATTTACTTATCAAACAGCCACTATATATTTAGATAATTGATTATTATTATATCTTGTAGCGCTGCCCTAGGTTAGAAAAATGAGATTTGCTTTGTCTATGCAGAGGCCCTACACTAACTGGGGCAATTCTTGTAGTAATATTTATATGCATAATTAATTTTAAATTCAAATTTCTATCATGTAAATTAAAACAAAAAACAATTTATTAAAGTGTGACATACAATTTTTTATTGTAATTAAATTATAACAGATATAGATTATCAACAATTTTGGTGAAAATTTTTAATAAATATCTCAAATTATTTCAGCATTATAAGTATAGCAGTATGCATAAATTTGAAAGCTATTTAAAATTTTAATTTTATATATAATTTACCTGCATTATAATAACATAACGAGTAACATCACCGGCGCATATAATGTTTTTTTATTCCCATTTAATCTGAAATTATATAAAAAAAAATGAATAAAGCATTAATAAATCATTACAGAAAATATTCTTAAAAATAATTTAAATTTTAGTTATATATATAAGAAATAACTAACAGGTACAGACGTGCCACTGTGTCTGTTCCAATGTTCGTCACTCTCTAATGTTTAGTTTTACTTTTAACCTCTTTATACTGCCTAAGCAGGTGATTGACCAACTGTAGAAGCTCACACTTGATTTTTTTTTTTTTTTTGCACATCTTTCGTCTAACGTGGTAAGACGTAGTTAATTTTTCTCCGCCAGATGTCTTTGCGACTATTCATATTGGATATTAAATTAGGGTTAGTTGTGATATTTCAAATTAATTTTATACTAATATCATATATTTTTAGCTATATTATTGCGGCTGAGGAGTTAACATCGGATAGTCAATGCGGCATCTGTGGAATTTGAACTCACGCTCTCCCAGTTAATACAGTTGAATTACATATCTACAATTGAGTGCGTTATTACTCTGCAACCGAGGCCACAGATAGGTTTTATAAATCCAATTTAGAATATTTGAAGTTATTCAGAAGAATTTATGTAAGTACTTATAATACAATAACAAAATAGTTCGATTATAATAATTTACAAAGTTAGTAATAGTTTTAAATGTTTATATGAGACTTTAAATTTATTAACTTTTGCATATGAATTTAGATCATCAGTTTCTCAATATATTAGTATATTCTATGCCACAAGAAATTTTAATTAGGTGATTAATGTAACAATGTATTAAAACTGTATTTAGTTTTTAATAAAAAGTGTTGATTTTATTGGCAATTAAAAGGAGTTAAGTATGTCCGATTCGACGTCTATGGTTATAATACTTGAATCGGACATACTTAATTAAAGTAATACTTGAGAAGGATATTGATTTTAGCCCAAAGTTTTGGGCTAAAATCATTATTATCATTTAAATAATAATTTTAATCAAATTATAGGAATTTTTTTTTTCAAATTTACTTATACAAATCATGGAAAATTTTATTAAACTAAAATAAAAAAAAATAACATTGAAAATATTAAAAACACGATTTTTACATTATTCCCATTGAATTTTTTAAATTTTCTATATGCTTTTTATTTATTTATTTTTAAATTTCTACTTTATTTCTACAAGTATTTCACTTATATTTTGCCTTACAGGTGATAACGTAAAACAAAAATATTCAAATTAAAAAATATATGTAAAAATAAATATGAAAACAAAAAAAAAATCACTACTTAAAGTACTTAAATCTTCTGCTTATACCTGAACGAAATAATGTTCGAATTGTATTATAAATTTGCCTTAATGTTTATAACGGTAAGAAATAATGGTGTGAGACATAGACACTAGAGTATGTTTTTGATCACCGTCGAATTCTAAGTCGATTTAACAATGTCTGCCCGCCTGTCCGTCCGTCCGTCCCAACGATAAATAAAAACTAATTTAGATGAGCTCACCAAATTTTCACAACTTCATTATCATAATTTAAGACAAGAAATTCGTACAGGTGTCATAGAATTGACATGATCAACTCTATTTTTTCTCGATTTTTTTTTTCTTTTGTTAAAGAAATGATAACGGTTTGTTTTTTCCAATTCATTTTTTTTTGTTTTTGCTCTATTTCCTTAGAGTCTCTTTTTTATGAAAAAAAAAATTAAAAAAGGAATTTCAGTTACAAAAAAATATTTTTCTTCTTTATTTTTTTGTTTTTTTAATGATAACTATCTTTTGTATATAAAAAAGATGAAAGTGCGAAAATAATTTCATTCAGGGGAAAAATATCATGTAAAGCTTATAACAAAAAAAAAATATAAAAGGAAAATTCATTTTCAATTTTCTTAACTTTATAAAGAAAAATTACTTTTGTAAATTGTTTTCATTTTTTTTCTGATTTTTTCTGGTTTTTGTTCTTTTTTTTTATGGCCAAAAGGGCCTTTCATTCACCTGAATTTGATTCAATAATATACAGAGTATACAGAGAGTTATTACTCGTATAATAGCAGGGTGTACGATATTTTAAAAGATCAGGCTCTGAATTGATTCAGTGCCCTACTACACGGTTTTCGAAAAGTCCCTCTTTGCCCCCCACACCGCTTCCCACTTCTGAATCAAAGTATAATATGCTATAAATTTTGCACACTACGCATAAATAAATCAATTTCTTTTAACTTTATCATGCTGAATGCAAGATTAGTCATGGCATTAAAATTTGTAATATTATCAAGTCAAGTATTCGCTGTAAATAGAAAAATAAAAATTATGGAAAACACGTAAAGGAAAACATTGTAAAAATAAATTTTATTTTTTGTTTTTATTAAGCGTGCATTACAATTTACAAATGCTTACTTAGATATATGGTAGACCCGACTCTGGATTTTTAAATATAATATGCTACAAAGTGTATTGAGAGTGATATAATTGCTGTTTGATGAATTTTACAAGTATACAAAAGAAAAAATTCAATTTAAGTTTTTTTTTTTATTTTTTTTCAATGATATTTTTAGAATATCTTTTGTTTTTATAAAAATTTATGAATATTTTTTTATTTATAATAATTGAAATGTTAAGTTGATATTCTTATATACAATTCATGTTATGTACTTTTGTGTAAGTATGAAAGAAACTATATATAAAAAGTGGTTTTGTTAATACAATAAAAGTTTTTAGCAATTTTTAAGAATTTTTAATTGGAGGACAATTAAAAATTCTATTTGACAAATTAAAGTTGCTCGTGCTAGAAAATATTTTAGTTATTCAAATACAATCACAAAGGTTTCAACTTTAATACACCAATTTTTGTTTAATTCCTATAATATATAATATCGTTTAACAAATTTCATTACAAAGTTATTAATATAGACCACATAGGAATTATTTTAACTTCCATACTATAAAATTTAATAGATTATTCCACTTTTGTTATTTTACAGAATTTTCTTATTGCACTCATTACATATTCATTGAATATATAAATGCATTTTATCACCTTATTGCATTTTGTGATTCGATTTTTTTTTTTGAAAGATTCAATTATGTATAATAGAATAAGAGAATAATATATAATGTGACTGTATTTATAGTTACAGCAGAATATTAAATTGAAATTTTCTCAAATAAAATTAAAATTCTTTTCTATATCTTCAGGTTATTTTTTACACTGAATAATAAGTGAATGTATATGTAATAGAAACTTTGAATTTAGTAAAAAATAAAGAAGAAAATAGAAGGATATCTGAAAAGTTTTTATGCATTAACTGTTATAATGCAAATAATGCAAATGTTATAAAATAGTCACAAGTTTCTGTTTCCAATTCGATATCCTTTTTAACTTTCATTATTCTTTTCATATTATATTCGCGTATATATGTAGATGATATTTTTATGTAACGATAAAGAATTCAATTCAAGTTGGTTACATGCAAAATAAAAATATAACGGTGTCCTTATAATGTGATGACATTGAAATTTTTATCGGAGTTTTATTTCTCTCCCTCTCTTTGTCTCTGTTTTTGACTTCCTCCTTATATAATAAAGTCTTTTATATCCCTTAAATCAGTTTGTCATTATTTTAATCGAAATTTAATTTGATTATTTGTTATATATATGTACATGTATAACAAATAAATTTAATATTTTTATTGAAAAATGATTATTACAAAATTCTAACAAAAAAAATTTTTTTTTTTCACATTTTTCTTTTAGAATCAAAGCAATCTAAAATCCAAATTGAAACAAATCGAAATTAAACTGAGACCGGAGCAATATTTTTAAATCTACTATTTTATAATAGTAGTAATTAGACAGAATTAAAATTTAATTAGGAGAAATTTTTTATGCGGATGATGCATTTGTTTTTAAGCTCACAAATGGAATCAAACCAGATTTAGAGTTGAAAAAACGAGCAGAGAGAGTGATCAAGTGAAAAAAATGTTTAGCAAGTCTTAGAATATGATCTAAGCCATGGTCTAATAGAAAAAAAAAATACATATTCTTAGTTCTGAGTGACCGCTACCAGTTATAAAACAACCACGGTTCTGCTTTTTGAGAAGATCTGCTACTACTTTAGTGTAATAATCGTAAATACTGTATATAAAATAAATTATAATGTCAATAATTTTACGCAATTCAAGCGGCAGCCGTTTAAACTAAACACTATTTTTTTTTATTATAAATTAAATTTAGAATTTTATTGAAATTTTTTTGTTAATTTGATTAATGCATAAAAATCATTTCGATTATAAATCTTTTAGCTTCGGTTTTTAGTTTTGGTTTTTTCAATTTAAATTTTGCTTTTTTGGATTATCATTCATTAATTTGCCGTTTGTTTTTTGTTCTTAATTTTTCAATTTTAACTTTTTTATTATAAGCAAAAAAAAAAGGAAGAGAAAATGAAAAAAATTTAAAAGTTTCTATTTAAAGTAAATATCAATAAATCCTAAATATCACAAAAACATATTGTGTACATACATACATACACTCGCAACGGAGCAAAATAACAAAATTAAATCTTTCTAAAAACAAAAATGTTTTGTTGTTGTTATTTTTTTTTATGTACGTACATTTTATTTTTCCTCAAATTTTTTTTTCTCTTCTTTTCTTTTTATGTTTTTTCGCTTAAATAAATTTTCGTCGTCCGCCAGCTTAGCATATGGTGCTTTTTCTCTTTTTTTTTTTTTGTTAAATTAAAGTTTTTATTTTTGTTTTGCATTTTGAAACCGCAACATATTGAATTTGAAATAAAATAATACACGAGAATTCATAATATTTTATTGTATATGTGCCCATGTATGTAAAAGAACAAAATGTATGGGGGTAGATAAAATATGTGTATATGTATATGCAAGTAATATACTGTTAAAACCCTAAATAAGGTAAGTAAGTAATAATAAGAGAAAATAAAAAAAAAATAACCAAAAAATTACTTATTTTTTTTTACAGTTAAAAAGGAAATTTCGAAAAATTGCCTTGAGAATAATAT